CGCGGCGGGCGGGAGGCGGGGCCGCTTGGTGTCATAGTGAGGGGTGCACACGGCGTTCAGGTGGCCAACCTGAGGGCAGAAGTGAGAGACAGGACCTGAAATGGGAGATATCTGGAAAATAGCTGTTTATAATTCCTCAATGGAGCCCCAGTTTTACAGATAGGCAATTCTGGCTCCAAATAGTAAAGTTTGTTGGCTCAAGTCTCCTTAACTGATAAAGTAGCACCAGGTTCTTAAATCTCTTTTCAGTTATCTTCAGCTGCCACTTTGTAAGCTCTTGACCAATATGCATTAGAAATAGCAGTAAATACGATTACTTAAACTGAAACAATTTAACAGGGAAACATCAACGCATATTAAAAACACATCAAGCCAGGCTCCGTGCCTCAGCCTGTAATCCCGCACTTTGGGAGGCTGAGGTGAGTTGCCTGAGTCCGCGGGTTCGAGACCCGCCTGGGAAATTGGTGAGACCTCATCTCTACAATAAATCAAAAAATCAGCCGGGCGTGGTAGCACATGCCTGTAATTCCAGCTACTTAGAAGGTTGAGGTGGAAGGATGCTGGAGCCCAGCAGGTAGAGGCTGCGGTGGCCGGGAACAGCCACTGCACTCCAGTCTGGGCGACAGAGTGAGACTCCAACTCAAAAATAAAATAAAATAATAAAAACACATCAAAAGCCTTACCACCAATGTGGATAATATTGTGCTCATTCATTCATCAATCTTTAATTGCCTACAATCGCAGCACTTTGGGAGGCCAATGTGGGAGCACTACTTGAGCCCAGGAGTTCAAAACCAGTCTAGGTAGCATAGGGAGACACTGACTCTACAAATTTTAAAAACTAGCCTGATATAGTGTACGCCTGTCGTCCCAACTACTTGGGAGGCTGAGGTGATAGGATGCCTTAAGCACAGGAGGTCGAGGCAGACAGAGTGAGACTCCAGCTCAAAACAAAAGTTATGTAATATTTAACCAGTAGGTTTTTCTTAATCTAACTAGCTGTACGAGGTATTACAATAAAGTTCGCAAAGTTCACAAGCTTGCAACTGTGAGCTTACATTGACAGCACTGTACAAAGGTCTCGGTAAGGTTTCATAATCTTGCTATATCAGTGTCTTACAGCTGTGTTTGTCAACGTGTGGCAGTGCCTTGCTGAGTGGCATTCATGATTGCTATTGCATGTTTTTGTGTGCCATCATGAGAATGTAGGAGCTTAAATTAGAGTAACGAACAAACATTAAGTTTCTTGTTACACCTGGCAAGAGTGGAGGTTAAATCAAGGATGTATTAGTCTAGATTTATGGGGATAATGCCATGAAGAAAACAGCAGCGTGCAAATAGATTAAATGTTTTTCTGAGTAGAGAGAAAGCATCACTGATGAAGAGAGGTTTGGACGGCCAATAACGAGCTGAAATGATGAAAACATTTCAAGAACTGGTCAAATTGTATGTCAAAATCGTTGGCTGACTGTGGGAAGCATAGACCAAATAAACATCAATAGACAAAAAAGAAAATCTTAGCATAAGCAAGGTGTGTGCAAAAATGGTGCCAAAGCTCTTACATCATGACAATGCACCATTCACACAGCACTGTCTGTGAGGGAGTTTTTAGCGAGTAAACAAATAACTGTATTGGACCACCCTTCCTACTCACTTGATCTGGCCCCCAATTACTTTTTTTATTTACCTGAAGGAACTATTGAAAAGACTTTTGATGACATTCAGACATCAAGGGTAATATGGCAGCTCTGATGACCATTCCAGTTAAAAGTTCCAAAAGTGCTTTGATGGGTGGACTAGGGGCTGGCATTGGTGCTAGCTTCCCAAGGGGAGTACTTCAGACGTGATTTTAGTGATATTCAGCAATGAGGTATATAGCAGTTTTTCTAGGATGAGTTGACAAATTTTTCAGACCTTGTATAACTCTGTATTACAAGATGGAAGATCTGTACAACTTTCCAAACAATTTAATAGTGTCAAAATAGTATCCTAATTTTCATTAAAATGCATTAACACACCAATATATTTCACTGTAATGTGGGATGTTTACGTGCATCAGTGTGGTTATATTTGCCAACCATGTGTGTCTAAAGAGGGAGGGATAGTTCTGTTGCTAACATCTACTGCATAGGTTTCCCTTCTTTGCTCCAATATGCTGCCGCTAGCAACCAAAGAAACAAAACGTCTCAGGTTTCTTTACACACTACTGTCCAACAACTTGCTACTTAGAATTCACACAATTCCCTTTTTTTCTATATGGCCTCAGTGAGTTGTTGTTAATGAATAGGGATTCAGAAGTTTGAGTTTGAGGAAAAATGTAACTTTCCCCTCCTGAGAATAGAATTGGGATGGGGGAGAAGTGATTTTTTTTTTTCCCTCCAACCACATCAGGTTTTGCATACAACCTAACCTCTCTGGAAGTCACTCACTTCTTTCCTTCTGAGGAAGTAGGGATCCACTTTTACCTGTAACATTGTATAGAAATGAAAAGTTAATTACCCTGGGTATAAATTTCAGTCTAAAGGAACATCTTGACCAGGAAGGATTGTTCACTCCTATAATCCCAGCACTTTGGGAGGTTGAGGTAGAAGGATCATTTGAGGCCAGGAGTTTGAGACCAGACATAGAAAGATCCTATCACTACAAAAAAAGTTTCTTTAAACATTAGCTGGGCATGGTGGTACACACCTCTAGTCCCAACTACTTGGGAGGCTGAGGCAAGAGGATCACTTGAGCCCAGGAGTTTGAAGCTACAGTAGGCTATATAATGATGCCACTGCACTCCAGCCTGGGCAAAGCATGAAAGTCTCTAAAAATATATACGAATAAGGCCAGGCGTGGTGGCTCACGCCTATTATCCCAGCACTTTGGGAGGCCACAGTGAAAGGTTGGCTTGAGACCATCCTGGGAAACTTAGTGAGACCTCATCTCTACAATAAATCAAAAAATTAGCCAGGTGTGGTGGCACATGCCTATAATTCCAGCTACTTGGAAGGCTGAGGCAGAAGTATCGCCTGAGTCCAGAAAGTTGAGGCTGTGGTGGCTGTGAGTGTGCCACTGCACTCTAGCCTGGGCAAGAGTAAGACAAATTTAAATAAATAAGTTATATATATTTAAACTTGCAACTTGTTGATTCAATTTATAAGCTATAATTAACTTGTTCCTAAATTGTCGGTGTTTAAAAACAAATTCTAGCCGGGGTCAATGGCTCAGCATGTAATCCCGCACCTTTGGGAGGCTGAGGTGAGTGAATTGCCTGATCCCGCGGGTTCGAGACTCACTTGGACAACTTGGCGAAACCTCATCTCGACAATAAATAAAAAGTTAGCCGGGGGTGGTAACGCGCAGCTGTAGTTCCAGCTACTTGGAAGGCTGAGGCGGAAGGATCGCCAGAGCCCAGTAGGTCGAGGCTGCGGTGGTCAGGAGCGGCCACTGCACTCCAGTCTGGGCGACAGAGTGAGACTCCCAAATCAAAAAACAAAAAAAAACAAAAAACAAATTCTAGATATGGCTATCTTATACTTTTTTTTTTTTGAGTTGGAGTTTCACTGTTGCCCAGGTTAGCGTGCACACTCATGGCCACTGCAGCCTCAATCTGCTGAGCTCAGGAAATCCTTCTGCCTCAGCCTTCCAAGTAGCCAGGCCTATAGGCGCATGCTACCACACCTGGTTAATTTATTTATTTTAGAGATGAGGTCTCACCAAGTTGCCCAGGCTGGTCTCAAACCCCTGGGCTCAGGTAATCCTCTTGCCTCAGTCTCCCAAAGTGCTGAGATTACAGCATGAGCCACTGTGCCACCCAGCAGCTGTCTTATTTTTGTCCAGGGTTCTATATTCAACTCCTAAGTAATATAATGGCCATTTTGCTTTTGTATTCAATCAATTTGGCTAATTAGCCATGTAAGTATTTCATGTGCGCTCCTGATGTGAATTAACTGTATAATTTAAATTACTTCAGGACTCCAAGACTATTTCAAGTAAGTAGCCAATTAAACAGGACAGCCTTTCCTAAAGGAAAATTCAAGAAAAAGATTAATGCATATTGATCATTCTGCCTGCATAAAAATTTAAAATAGATACAAAATGTAAGTGAACTAAGAAAGAGATCTAGAATAACTTTACTATTTTAAGAGTTCCTACAACTCAGTAAAAGGCAATCCTACCACAGAAAAACAAACATGATTAGTCTGGTCACTAAGGATAAATCAATACCTAACCAAAAAAAGTATTTTTACCTATTGATAGAATATTTCACCACTGGCAAGAGCATAAAGAAACGAACATTCTAGTGAAGTTCAGTTTTGGGGGGAGCAAACAAAAAGCTTTAGTGTTCACCTCTAACCCAAGTTGCACTTCTAGGAAACCACAAGTGTTGTGTAAAAAGACGTATGTAGTGAAACGTTCACTGCAAGCACCTATACCAGCAAAAAACTCCACCAAAAATAAACACCCCTGAAATTTCCAACAAGGGGTTAATCATGATTATATAGCTATTGTACAAGGAATACCATGCAGTTAGCAAGTAAATGTGTTGTAGAACAAATACATGGTAAAATGACCAATGTAAAGTCAAAAAAGCAGGTGACAAAACAGCACGTGTAATTTTATTAGATGCATCGTACATATTATAGTATTTATATCTGTCTATCTCAGCAGTAACCAACCTCCATGGTCACTGGTACCCAGAATCTTTTTTTCCTGTTACTAACTGACCTACAGGATCTTAAGCCTGTTGCTGCACTTGCACATTAAACAGTTATTTCATGAGGGGAGAAATTCAAATGTTCTTGGGACCCTTTAGAACAACTGTCCTATATTTCCTCCTTTTACGATTAGTTTTTAAAATAAGTAATCTATCTATATTCACTACTCCTAAAATAAATTTGTAATCTACAAAATGCTTTCAACACAGGCATTAACTCATGTGACTGTCAAAACCAACACATTTTAATGTACTCTTTTCTGAAGTAAGAAAATATCACAGGTTGGCTTTTCCATGGCTCCATTAACTGGTGACTCAGGAAGTCAAAGCTCAGTGACATGCTTTCCTTATTCCCCTACTTTACCATCCACAAACTACATATGCCTAATGCTTTGTTTTACAATAATGACCCAACAAATGTTTGAATTTCAGGTTTGCTAATCCAAAAATTCTAATCCAAGAGAGCAGGCCTAACCCTTTAAGTGTGCTAAATTTTAGTAATACCAAAGAAATTTTGAACAGAAAGCGAGAAATTAACCGATAAATCCTGGTGGTATTTTATTTAGAAAGATAGTCACTGATATTAAGATTTTAATGTTTCCTTCTTTGAAATCCTGCACTAATTAGACATAAAAGTACTTACACACTGAGTAAGAAATTATATAAATATAAGGTAACTGAAAACAAATTATTCATTGATTCATTTTGCTTTCCTGTTGGCCGCCTTCTGTTGTATTTTTCTTTGCCTTTTATAAATCCTTTTCTTTCTTGCTTTCAAATCAACTTTTGGCTCTGGTTTTACCCACTGTATTTCTATCGGTTTTTCCTCAGCTGGTATAACAAAAACATCTGCGGTGGGATCATGTGGAACAAGAGTCTTTGGCTCTTTCTTTCTCAGTTTCTGTACGTCTTTCACTTGCTGTTTCTCTCTGTATTTTGCAGCTGTGATGGATCTTATGATACGCCGATGCTAGAAACAAAGGCAAAGACTTTCACTTATGAGTCCTGTATCCCTTCACCCAGTGTCATGAAAAAAAAAGTACTAATTTGCAAGTCTGAATGCAGCAAAAACCAAATTCAGTCACACAGGTTATAAAATAGTAATTACTTCACAGAATTAATTTGGACAATAGTAATTACTTCTAATACATTGAAAACCACTGAACAAAACCACTTACCATGTTTGGTGACTGGTAATGAGGATTTTCATATAAAGTTGGTCCTCCAAAACTTCCTTGGAAAATCTTTATTAGATTTAAGACAAAACGAGGTCCTATTTCTACAAGAGCAGCATCCTCTTCTATGATCTTTAATAAAAAGAAAACATTTCACTTTGGTTTGGATATACTATTCCCAAAAGACATACTGGTTATAACCTCATTACAAATGTGCCTAAAAGAATTGACAATCAGTAAAATCAAGGTAAAAATGAAACTTGGTAAGTGTCAAATCATCAATATTTTCTGAAATCTATTACTAGTCACAGGAAGTTGTCAAAGGAAATTTTTTTTTAGTATGTTCTTTCAAAATTGAATAATTTAAATTTGGCTCATACCCTGCTTCCACTATGCATGTATTCTTGAAAAACTATGATTAAAATGAATTTTTAAAATTGCAACCATTATTAGCAAAAGGTATTAAAGTATACTATGAAACTAACATCAATCCCTAAATTGTTTTTATAAATCGAACTCAAGTTAGATTAAAATGATAATGTTGACATTAACTGTCAGTTATGCCTGCCCTCAGAGGTTAAGAAGCGGATGTGTCTAACTCACACTGGAAGGTATCCATTATAAAGAACCCAGTTTACACTATACGCTGTTTGAAACTGTTCTTGCTGTTCTTCATCATCTCATCTTTCTGTAGATTGATCCTGCCAAACTGCTTCAAGATTTCTAGAATTACCTCTCCTCCTGAATGAGGCACTGGGACTCATCATCTAATAGTTGTCACTGAATGCCTTCTATAGGCGTTACATTTATCTAGGTCTTAACCCTTCGGGTGCACTCTAACCTTTTGGAGGGGAACTTCTATTTTACTGTATCCTTAATAGCAGCACAAATTAGAAACCCAATTAACTCACAGATCTTCAGACTATTCCTTTTATAAAGTAAAAAATATGACAGTAAGAAACCCATATCATGAAAAGAAGCGGACAGAGATCAACATGAAAAGAAGTGGATAGAGATCACTTAAGATATGAGATAGCAGATAGTTACTTGCAGGAAATGTTGTAGGGAAAAGGAAGTTATTTTTAAAAAAAGGATTTATTATTCCTATTTTTTGTGTCTGCAAACCCTGTATATCCTTATTTAAAAACTGGCCAGGCACAGTGGTTTATGCCTGTTAACGCAGCTACTTGAAAGGATCAGCTTGAGGCCAGGAATTCAAGACAGGCCTGGGCAACATAGCAAGACCCCCCTCTCCAAAAAGTAAATAAATAAACAAAAGTATAATTAAAAATTAAAGCTTACCTGAAAGTTCCTAAACCATATCCTGTTATCCAAAATGGTGAAAGTAAATACATGGTCCACAAATGGTTGGCTTTTGGGATGATACCGTGGTGTACTAAAGATCTAGTGAAAAAAAGTATATATTAATTTCTTATTCCAAGATATATAATGTATGTTTTGGATAGCTAAGTTAACAAAAAGTTCAAAGGAAGATGCTCACTTATAACATATTACTAAAAATAATTTCTAGAAAAGATATTTACCTGAATTAAGAGTTCTTTTAACAAAGCATAATGTGGTAATTCATCAAAAGCCTATAAAAAATAAAGTGAATATATTGCTTAAAACTGTTTTTTTCTTTTATGTTAACTAAATTGAATCACACAACTATAGTCACTAAGAACAACCATACCAGGTAAGAAAATTAGACCTCCTATGAGGAAAGAGAAACTTACAGGGTCAAAAGACAAAAGGGGCCGAGAACCTTTCAAACAGTTTCCAGTCATCTTCAGTTCAGCTAAGGTATGAACTAGAAAGATTATAACAAAAAACAAAATTAGTTATAACTTTAGCACAACTATTCCAAAAGAGTATCTTTAATTTTCTCATTTAAAACATTTTAAATTGAGTCAACTTACTATTTTGAACAAGGAATTTAGCAGATGGTCCATGAGGTGAGTTTGAAAGCCTGAAAGATATGAAGGAAGCTTTTCAACTAATTAGAATTTAGAATGTAGTAAATGTTTACCACCTATTCACTGTAAAAAGACACCATGATGTGCTTAAAATATTCATATTCTTTAAAGTTATCAAGTTTTGTGAAATCAGATGAGTTTGCTTCATTCTCCACTTTTACATGAAAGACTAAAAGGAGTCTGTAATATAAGAGGTATGTAGAAAAAATCCATTTAAATGAATGAGTTTAACCTAAATTTTAATATTCTCTTACCACATATAGAGATCCTGTTTTTTCTTAGCTTCAAAATAGATGCATTTATTGCAGTTTTTCATTTCACAAACCTAAATGAAAGAATATACAGGAAAATGAACTAGCTAATATAAATTAGAACTAAAGTAATTCAATGCAATTAGTCTTTAGATTCCCATGAAAATATTAAAGCAGATTAATAGGTTACAAAGGTCTGAATCTAGGCAAATTTATTTATTCACAAGAAACACTTAAAGCTCCTCTTAGGTATTCTACCCAAGGTAAACCAGAAGCTTTGCCCACCTCTTTGGTGAAAGTATCCAACCTATTCTTTTTAGCCTAGCATTTAAAGTGGTTTCATTTCTGATTACTGGGAACCTTTTCTTCTCTCCACAGTCCTACGTACTAACTATGAAGACTGGCAATACATATTCTAGGAATAAGGCATACCATAATTAATGTTCTCATGTTAATTCATATTATTACTTTGACTTTTAACTTTAAAATCACGAAATTTAAATTTTTCTTCCTCATTAATACTATCATTTCCAAGCTAAGCCTAGTGGCTCACACCTGTCATCCCAGCACTTTGGGAGATGGAGGTGAGAGGACTGCCTGAGTCCAGGGGTTAAAGACCAGCCTAGACAACTTGGCAAGACCTCAGCTCTACAGTAAATAATTTTTAAAAATACTATCATTTCTTGTGATTTGGTTCTTCCTCATTTATACTATCATTTCTTGTGATTTGGTTCTGGAAAATCGCTAAGGTATTGGTGAAAAGTATAAGTATATAAAACTTATTTCAACTTGAATTAAACATCAATGTTTTGAAGGTTTACAAAGTGACACTCGAGAAATACAAAACATTACAGAATTGAAGTCCTTTATTACTGTAGTATTCATAAACTGTAACTAATGTAGTATCTATAAACTCTAAACCATTTAAGATTTTAAACCTAACAACTTAAAAAAATTCTTAGGTCCAATGCTTGTTTCTCACTGACCTTAGAATAAGCACGAAAAATGGGAAGTTTGTGCCACTTCTGGCCTTTGTAATTGCCATTTTCTCTACCTAGATTGCTCTTCCACAATACTTCTCCTTCACTGAAGTTTGATCAAACAGTAAGTTGAACATCAAGCCTTTGGAAAAGCTACTCCAGGCCAGCCTCAGTTATCAAAAACCCATAGCCTGCTTTATTTCTCCTATCTTCACTTGAAATTATAAATCTTGTTTATGGCCTATCTCCCTCATTAGAATGTAAGCTCCACAGTGATAGGGACACTGTTCTGTTAAACATTTTCCACAGCAAATAAAATAATGTGATGTTATAGCAGAGGTTCAAAAACTTGTGCTAAATGAATAAATAATAGAAGCCTTTCTAATAGTGAAAGATAATTATGCAAACTAGTATAACCCCTGTGGAAAACAGTGTGGATATTACTAAAAGATCTAAAAATGGACTTTCTGTATGACCCTGCAATTCCCCTTCAGGGAATATACCTGGAGGAACTCAAATCACTCTACGAAAAAGATACTGCACACACATTTATTGCAGCATTATTCACAATAGCAAAAACATGGAACCAATGTGCTGCCCATCAAAAGAGGCCTGGATAAAAAAATGTGGTACATATACACGATGGAATATGCTGCCACAAAGAAGGACAATATTATGAAGCTCATAGCAACTTGGATGGACTCAGAGTCTATAATACTGAGTGATCTATCACAGAAACAAAGAACTGAATATCACATATTCCTACTCATAAGTAGATCTTGAACAACTATCTTAGTACTATAAAAAAGGGATTGGCAATAATGGGAAACTGCCCGGCGAGGAGGAGGGGTGGGAGGGTGGGAGATGGGACACCTCATCAATAAGGGTATCTACACAATGACCATTTGTATACCTAACCCTGAATAGTACCCCATATCTTTAAAATAAAAAAAGACAGATAATTATGTTAAAACAATAGCAAAAACATGGAATCAACTGTGCTGCCCACCAAAAGAAGACTGGACAAAAAATGTGGTACGTATGTATGATGGAATATATATTTTTTGAGTTGGAGTCTTACTCTTTCGCCCAGGTTAGAGTGCAGTGGCACCCTCACGGCCACCTCAGCCTCGACCTGCAGGGCTCAGGCAATCCTTCCGCCTAGCCTTCCAAGTAGCTGGAACTATAGGTATGCATCACCACGCCTGGCTAATTTTTTGATTTATTGCAGAGACGAGGTCTCACCATGTTGCTCTGGTTAGCCGTGAACCCCTGAGCTCAAGCAATCCTCTTGTCTCCGCCTCCCAGTGTTGGGATTACAGGTGTGAGCCACTGTACCCAGCACATGATGGAATATTACGCATTCATAAACAAGAGCAAAATTATGAACTTCACAGCAACTTGGATGGACTCAGAATCTATAATACTGAGTGATCTACCAGAGAAACAAAGAACTGAGTACCACATGTTCTCACTCATAAGCAAATCCCGAACATTTACCATAACACTATAAGTAGGTGGAAATTGCCGGGGGGGGGGGGGGTGGCAGCATCTCACTCATAAGGGTATCTGATCTCAAACCAGGTGAAGTGGGGACCAAAGTGGGGATCAAACTTTACCTACACAATAACCATTTGTATACCTAACCCTTGAATTGTACCCCACATCTTTAAAATAAAAGAAAGATAACTATGTTAAAACAATTCTGAGTTTTGAAAATTTTGCTTTAAAATTTAAGCATCTTCAACAATACTTTGAAAATCTAACCTACTACTAATTTGTAATACCTTAAGAGAAAAGTCCCCATGAACCACTTTTAATACTGGCAAAATGGTTTTTACCATGTGGGTTTTCCACATATACTTAATGTTTATTTTATACACAGTGATTGAGAATTTCTTTATGAGTACCTACTATGAATTTAGCACATTAAACACCATAGGAGGAAAAAAAAATGAAGTATAATCCTTGACTACAGGAATTTCAATATGGCTTATTCAGACAAGACAGAGATGTTTAAGAAATAACATATACCAAAGCACTATTGTGAGAAACACAAGAGTACTAGAAAAGTTTGGAAGACTGATTATTTTTTAAATCCGCCATCTTTGCATTCTAAAGTATTTTACTGCAATTACTTTCTAAAATTACCTCGTTAATCACAAATAATTTATCTTTTCGATCCATTTTAGTATCTATAAAAAAAGAGAAAGCAAGTAAATAAAAGGTGATTTCAAAGCTACATCAAATCACATATGCTATCTAGAAATTACTTTGAGTGTTTTTATACTCTTCAGTTTAAAAAAGACTATTAATTTTAAAATTATTAGACATAAAACAACCAACTCCTGAAAAATCTTGATTCTTGTTAAAGAAAGTAAGTAAAAAACATTAAGAATTATAAATCACAGCTTAAGCAGTGTTTCCTTAGGTATTCTGTTAATCTCTTTTGAAGATGAAAAACTTATCACCATCTGAAGACTATGGGAGCCTAGTTTAAGAAAACATTCACAGCCCAGCATGGTGGCTCAAGTCTGTAATCCCAGCACTTTGGGAGACTGAGACAAGAGTTTTGCCTGAACTCAGGAGGTTTGAGGCCAGCCTGAGGAACTTGGAGAAACCTCGTCTGTACAATAAATCAGAAAATAAACTGAGCATAGCAGCACTCGCCTATAGTTCCAGCTACTTGGAAGGCTAAGACAGAAGGATCACCAGAGTTTAACAGGTCAAGGCTGAGGTGGCCGTGAGCATGCCACTGCACTCCACCCTGGGCAAGATTGAGACTCCGACTCAAAAAAAGAGAAAACATTCACCAAATAAACTATAATCTCAATGAAAGCTATCTTTCAATTTTGAATCATAGTTGTCAAAGAAAACTGATTTTGTAAAATTGGTTTTTGGGCTGGGTGTGGAGGTTCATGCCTATAATCCTAGCACTTTGGGAGGCTGAGGTGAGAGGATTACCTGAGCCCAAGGGTTCGAGAATAGCCTGGGCAACTTGGTGAGACCTCATCTTTACAATAAATCAAAAGATTAGTTGGGCATGGTGGCATCCTGAATCAAGGACAAACCCATGCCACCTATCTTATGACCTCTAAGAATATTATAATGAAAGTATTCCCACACTTTCAAGAAATGTTTCAGTATTAGGATATATGTTTTAAAAAGTAAAGAGAATATCTAACGAATTCTGTAAAGAATTTCAAACAAAACACTAATTGGAAAAATTATGGAACTTGAAAGAAAAAACCTGAGGCATCATAGTGTTTTACCGGAAAAGACTGAACAAATGAATCATATATAAGAATACATAAATTGGGAAATCTATTAATATAAATTATTAAAGTATATGATATAAAGGTACCTGCTTTAGAATGAGGCATCAGTGTTCTCAAGTCCTGCATTAAATGTCTTGTTCTGAAATTTATTCCTCTAGAAGAAAAGATGAGAATCCGTTCTTTATTCTTCCACTTGCCCTAAAAAGAAAGTGTTAAAGAATTTTAAAATCTTATACTGAACCTATCTTGATTGTTTTTCAAAGACAGTTTTAAAAGCTTCCAGACAGCAAGTCAATCAATCCTGACCCCTTTAATTCCATCTCTCAGCATCATTCACTGCCCACATCAGTCACCCAGAAATGCCCTCCTTGGTTTCTTCCATTTTTGTTTTTCATCTTCAATCTTTCCAATTTCTTCCCCCAACCTTAAAAGTTTTTCTTAGCCCTCTTTTTTATTTCTGTTCTCTCCTAGACAGAGCTCTCATAATCATTCCCACAGCTTCAATTGTCCATGCTACACAAAGATAAGGAACTCTCTCTACCTCAAATAATCCAAGTATTTGACTAACACCTACAACTCAACTCTATACTAAACATTATCTTACACCTTAAGTCTGGTAAGCTTCCCTGCTATTTCTTTTTTTTTTTTTTTCTGATGGTGTCGTCATCATGTCTGTCACCCAGGATCTGAATCTTGCATTTGCCCTTATTCTCCCGTATCATAAACACTACTAACGCTATTAATTTCTCTTTCCAACAATTCTTAATCCTCCCTCATTCGCACCGATCGTTATTTAGGTCCGTATGATCTTACACTAAACTGCAAATCTCCTGAATGGCTAGCCTTCTCAGCCATGAGCTCCTCCAGTAGATATGGCTGACTGCAATCACAACCTTATTTCCCAGGGTTTTCTAAACAAGGTTCAAAATGACAGCTTCAACACTGGATTCTAAAGTATATTTGCATCACCTTCAACATTGGATTCTAAAGTATATTTGCATCACTACTGCCCCAAATCAACCCTCTGCTAATCCAATCTGGCTTGATTTTGTCAGCATTTCCCCACTTCAATTTTTTCTCTCCCTTGAAATGTTCTCTTATTTTTGCACATTAAAATCCTACTCTTGCCTTAAAATACAGCTTAAAGACTAAATCCTTCATGATTCTTTCCCTTATTATGCTATGATAAAAGTAACCTCCTGCATTTCCATAAACTATATCAAAAATCCGCAGCCTTCAGGAGTGCGGCCACGTGCACTAGGATTAGACATACACAACGGCCGCGTCCGGGCCGACCCATCTACTGTACGAACGGGGCTACTCTGAAATTAGCAGAGCTGTAGTCAGGCAGCCCCGGGAAAGCGCGTGGAGCCGCAGCTGTAGCCCTAAAGAAGTCCCTTATACCTTGCATACGGGGCCTGGGATACGGTTTCTGTCTTCTTCCTCCTCCTTTGCGATGTCGAGTTGTTCAGCGGGGGCCCCAGCATTTTTTTTGCTTCGTTTTGGCTTCTTCGCCTGAACCGCCAAATCTCCACGCCGTTTCCTCTTGGCTGCCGCCATCTTGCCTCACCGCCTTCGCTCCTAGTAATTTCTTCCGGCTCGGCCGCTCGCTCCTCCTTCCGGTCTCTATGGCACATCAGCTCTGCGGGCTTGGTTCGGCGGTCATCCAGCTATATGGTGCCGGCTTTCATTCTCGTTGGTATCGAACGCGCGGCTCTCTAGGCGCCTTGCAGCTCTATGGTGACGGTGCCCGAGGTGGAAGACCAGTCTGAGAAGAGTGGCGGGAGCCGCTCCGCTTCCTCCGCGGTTTCCCAGGAGCTCGCTCTCCCCTCCCCAGGGTTTACTAAGAAGGGTTCTCGGGCTCCCGGACCGGGTTTCCGCACCCCAGAATCTCTGGACTAGTAAGCCGATGCTGTTCTGCGGGCGGGCTGGTGAATGTGGTTGCCTGGGACACTTGGAGGCTCTTCTGGGGACTCGGGGCCCACCCCCATCGCCTGTTGGAAGCAGGGTTGGTGGCGTCGGGCAGCTGGAAACACAGCTCTGCGGATTCGTAGCCCCCGTTTGGCATGGCGAGACTGGGCCCAAGAGGGGCTACTGTGCTAGTTGCCTGTTTTCGTTCTTTCCGACTTTACATATAGTACTGTCCCCGTACTGAAGACGAGGCAACTGTAGCTTAGAGAGATGGTAATTTCCCCCAAAGTTACAAGAGAGTTAAGTGGCAGAGGTGGGGTTTGGCCTGATCTGCCTGGTTCAAGGCCCCTTCCACTTCTCATCGTGGGTTGAGGTGGCCCGACCTCGCCGGCATTGATACGGGAATTTATGGTCGAATCTCTCCAGGTGTTGGCCCCAGGAGCATCCCTCTTAGCTGAATGGGCAGTGGACGATGCCCCTCCTCACCCAGCATATCCAAGATGAGAATGATCAGTACAGCCTTGTGGCCAGCCTTGACAACGTTAGGAACCTCTACACTATCTTAAAAGCTATTCATTTCCGAGATCATGCCGCGTGTTTCGCTACTAAAAATGGAATCAAGGTGACAGTGGAAAATGCAAAGTGTGTGCAAGCAAATGCTTTTATCCAGGTATGAAAATAGGCACATTTAAGCCTGTGACATATGATATTCTTCACGCAGTTTAATGAATTAGACAATTTAAGTTGAGAACAAAATGTCATTGAATTCTTTGTCTCTCCTGGTAACAGATTCTTTTCCCATCTTGTTTTACAGAGATAATGGTTAATGATGACTAAAGTTTATTAAGCTGAGTAATTGGCTAGGCACTCATTTAATCGTCACAGTAGTCCTATGAGTTAGGTTCTGTTATTATTCCCATTTTACGCATGTGGAAACAAGGCACAATTTAAATGATTTGCCAGCAGTCCTACAGCTGGTAAGTGGCTGATTGGGATGAGAATCCTGAACATTTATTTCCAGGATATATGCTCTTTACCACTACGTCACTTTTAGCTCCCTATCAACTCCCTATTAAAAAGTATTTGCCCTTTAATTAGTTGTAATATAATCTCTTTGCCCTTATAAAGTAATATTTGTGTGGCTCAGATAGGATTTCAATTAAATTCAGCATTTTTAAAATACCTAAGTGCACAGGATGACCACTGGATGAAGGGGTAAATAAGACATAGTCCTCATCCTCAAAAGATATTAAAAACTACTCAGCATGAAATGCCTGTAATCCCAACTACTCGAGAGGCTGAGGCAGGAGGATCACTTGAGCTCAGGAGTTGGGGACCAGCCTGGGCAACATAGTGAGATCTAAATTTAAAATTTTGTTTTTCTTCAACTGACAACTAATATCATGCATGCAGTTATCCAACTGTCTATTTTCCAAGTAACCTCAGCAGTACTGATGGGCACAAAAATGAGACAAAGGAGAGTCACACAGGGGTAGTTTCAGATCTAGGAATGGAGATCTAAGAATCAGATCTAGAAATGGAGATAAGCCTTCACAGGGTTTTGGATGGGGCCTAAATCACTGTTATACTATTCAGTAGTGTTGTTCTAATGGATAATAGTTGAGGAAACTAAGATTTTTTGTTCTGTAATCAGAATTTATTCTCATGGGGTTAGCACAATATTGTTATTTTTAGAACATAAAGTGAAATCTAGAACCTTAGATGTTGGTTTTCATCCCTTTATATGATAACCACATTTCCATGTTTATTTTTTTCATAGGCTGGGATATTTCAAGAATTTACCGTTCAGGAAGAGTCTGTTACTTTTCGAATTAATTTAACTGTCCTTTTAGACTGTTTATCTATATTTGGATCAAGTCCAACGCCAGGTAAACCATTTTATTTCTATAAAGACATAAAAGCATCATACAATGTGGTCAGAAAAATATAAGAAGTTATTTGGAATATAAGCATTTTGTTTAGAAAATTAAGTTGTCAATTCATTTTTCAGTGGTCATGATCATAGATTCTGACTTTTTACCATATTAATTAAAAGTGTATATTTAAGCCGGGCTCGGTGGCTCAGCCTGTAATCCCACGCCTTGGGAGGCTAAGGTGAGTAAATTGCCTGAGACCGCAGGTTTGAGACCTGCCTGGGCAACTCATCTCTACAATAAGTCAAAAATTAGCCGGGCGTGGTAGCACGTGCCTGTAGTTCCAGCTACTTGGAAGGCTGAGGCGGAAGGATCACCCGAGCCCAGCCGGTCGAGGCTGCACTCCAGTCTGGGTGACAGAGTGAGACTCCGACTCAAAAAAAAAAAAGTATGTATTTAGGTCTTTTCATATTTGTAAAAGTATTTACTTTCATCTTTCTTAAATTTACAAAGCTTTTGTGTTTTTAAAATTTGAACTGGATAAAAGGATACTTTAAGTATCCTTAAAATCGTGAAATGTTTTAATTGTTTCCTTTCCCTAACTTGTCCAGAATTACAGTTACTTAATGCCAGAGGAAAACAGAAGCTAGTTGTCCTGACTCCCAGTTTACTGTGTTCAAAATTTGTTTGCTTTTTTTAGGCCCTGTTTATAAAGTATGCCAACTTCCCTATACTTTCCTTTAAAATACATATTTTTTATTTAAGTGAATTATTTTTAAGAATGGGGAACTTCAGTTGCTATGAATAAAAAACTACAAGGAAGCCCCAAAAGAATGATTTTTTGTCATAGGAAAGCGATCTGGAGATTAGCTAGGGAAAATTCAGTTATGGTTCTTCAGAAATATAATGTTTAATTTTGCACTGAAAATTCCACTATTATTAATTATACATTTTCTAATACATTGTTTCCCAGCTGGTTTTTCATAAAAGCATCTATCCTGTTTTATTCCTCATTGTGGCTCTCCAGTAAGGAGAAGGAGTTTGAATATCCTGTCATATTCCCTATCTCCCTCCAGTGGTTTGCATCAGTGAATACACTGACATTACACTACAGAGACAATATCAAAGCAATCCAGTATTGCACAAATTGAACCTTCAATAGCATAGCTTATTCTGCAACAACTTGCCGTGTTAGTTCATGAAGATTCTCTGTCTTGCAATTGTACATATAATACTCACACACACGTATGTATGTATAAAATCAGCAAGCTATTTCTGAGGTGTTTTTTGGTAACCTGAAAAATGATTCCTGAGACAATACATTACATTTTGTCCTAGATCCTAGTTTTCTTGTGGTTATCTTTGGAAATATCTACACACAATTGTCATCAGGAAAGATGTAATGCCTTCTTATGAGAAGGTACATATATACTAGTAATTGGGCAGAATAAATTTTTATGTATCCTTTGAGAAGAAGCTGAACCCATAACTGTAAAACTAAGCCCGAAGTATGATTTCTTTCCATTGCAGGGACTTTAACTGCACTTCGGATGTGTTACCAAGGTTATGGTTACCCTTTGATGCTGTTCCTGGAAGAAGGGGGCGTGGTGACAGTCTGCAAAATCAATACTCAGGAGCCCGAGGAGACTCTGGACTTTGATTTCTGCAGCACCAATGTTATTAATAAAATTATTCTGCAGTCAGAGGGGCTCCGTGAAGCATTTTCCGAATTGGATATGACAAGTGACGTCCTACAGATTACCATGTCTCCTGACAAGCCTTATTTCAGGTACTTGAGAGTTATAGTTAATATATAGTAATGTGGTCTGTACTCTGTCTCCCCACTTGCACATGTGCTTAGGATGTGGAATTTTTATTATGTAGGCTCCTAGAATTTTTAGAACTTTACAGAGCTTGTACTTTTACTTCATAACTTTATGGATCAAGAAACTTAAGATTCAGGAAGATTAACTTACTAAGGGTTTCATGGTTAGGTTGTGTTTGTTTTTGGATAAAAGCTCAATCTTCTAATTCATAAACCGCTGGCTTTTTATTGTACTATTTACTGTTGTAAATCAGGTTATGTCATGAGGAAAACCAGGTTTTAGCATTTGGAAAACATTTGTATCATATGATATCTTTTTCCTTTTTTAAAAATTTTTAAATATTTTATTTAAAAAATGTGGGATACAGTTCAGCATTAGGTATACACATGTTCATTATGCGGGTACCCTTGTTGATGAGGTGTGTGCCCCCCCACCCCCAGCAGTTTCCCACTACTGGCAATCCCACCCCCCGCCTTTCTTTTCAAATTACTTCAGGATGCAAAAGGAAGTAGATGTTTTCCACACATGGTTCATTCACTAAGTATCTGTTGATCACCTACTATGTGTTGATCCATCTTATTAAGCTCCGTGGGAAGAACAGCTTAAAATCCAGATGAAGAAGGGATATATGAAACAGCAGAGGAGGAACAAAATTGCTAGCCACTAATTAACAAAATAATACACATGGATATTTACAAAACAATACATGAGTACTTAGGGAGGAAGGATCAATGTCACCTTCCTAAGGGAGGGCAATTTTCAGCAGGAATACAGTGTTAAAAACTATAAAGCTGCTTTCTGATACTGTTTTTTTTTTTTTTTTTTTTTTGGAGTGAGAGTCTCACTCTGTCTCCCAGGCTGGAATGCAGTGGCACACTCACTGCAACTGCTGGGCTCAGGTGATCCTTCCACTTCAGCCTTTCAAGTAGCTGGAATTATAGATGTGTGCCACCATGCCCGGCTAATTTTTTGATTTATTGTAGAGATGAGGTCCTGCCATGTTGCCCAGGCTGGTCTCAAACCTGTGGTGGGCTCAGGCAATCATCTCACCTTAGCCTCTCAAAGTGCTGGGATTATAGGCATGAGCCACTGCATCCAGAGCTTCTGATATTCTGATATTATAGTATTGCAGTCCCTTTTTATGATTAGAATCAACTTAGAGATTATAACAATTTAGAGAGCAGATCTAAATATTCGTATTTCAGAATATTAGAGAATAAAAGAGCTTAATACATATGGAATAAAATAATTACAGGCCCTTCTCATGGCATTAGGCAACTAACAATTTGGCTCAAGGGTATTAATTAGCAGTGATATTAATTAAAATTCTCCACGCTAAACAGTATTTCAGAGATCTCCTTCTAAATGCTCTCTCTCAGCATGGGTAACTAGATGGATCGTGGTGTCTTTTAACTCCAGGATCAGAAACAATTTGGTGGTGGAGAGGTAGGAGTTTAAATTTTTTTCTGGATATGTGAAATTTGAGGTATCTGTAACACTAAGGAGTAGCTGGATTCATAGGTATGGCATTCAGAAGATCCGTCTAGCCTGGAAACTTAGATTTGGGAACTATCATCTTGGCTGGGCTTAGATGAAACAGCTTAGAGAAAAGGGTTGTGTTAGAAGAAAAAAAAAAAAGCCAACACCTAGGTTTTATCACCATGCTCATATATTAGTTAGTAATGTGCTAACCCCATAGCAAATGCTCCAAGAAGTTCTTACAGATTAAGTCAGCACATTTGTAAATTGTCTACACACAGCTGCTGATATTACCAAATGGGGAAAACCACAAAACAGCCTTAAGAGTAGTCCAAGATACAGCAAAGCCATAATTGCTCAGTATGGGATTGGGAACAGGACCCAAGGCTTGCAGTTGACTTAAATCAAGGTCTTCTCTCCATTCTCTCTCTGTTATATGTTTTTTTTGACTTAAGGATGAGGAAAAGTCATTATCGAGGAGGATTAAGATAGGGAAATTGAAGTCCCCCTCCCCATTTCTTTTGTGACTGATTTTCTTCAAGGCTGTCGATTAGTTGTTACTTGCCCTAATAACTCCCACAGCATCCTGTGGGAACCTTTGTCAGGGTACTTGTTATAATGTACTGTAAATATTTGTTTACGTCTGTTCACCCACCAGTATGAGCTTCTTCAGGAAGTTTTTTTTTTTTCTGAGTTGGGGTCTCACTCTGTCACCCAGGCTGTAGTGCAGGGGCACACTCATAGCCACCCTAGTGTCGACCTACTGGGCTCCCACAATCCTTCCACCTCAGCCTTGCAAGTAAGAACTACAGGCACGCGCTACCACACCCGACTATTTTTGATTTTTACTTTAGAGACAAGGTCTCGCCAAGTTGCACAGGCAGGTCTCAAACCCGCATGCTCAGGCAATCCACTCGCCTCAGCCTCCCAAAGTGCTGAGATTATAGGCTGAGCCACCGAGCCCAGCCGGAAGTGTTTTCTTTATGTGGATCTTAAATTGGCTTATTGTTGGACCAATGAATAAATGAGTTGCTCATTTTCTATAGGTTGTCTACTTTTGGAAATGCAGGAAGTTCTCACCTTGACTATCCCAAAGATTCTGATTTGGTGGAAGCATTTCATTGTAATCAGACCCAGGTCAACAGGTCAGTTCTTACTATAAAGGTTGCCATTGGTGATGAAGGTGAGGTTAAATACCAAATTTCTATTAAACAAAAAACTTTCAATTTGTTAATAAAAATGCATAGCATTTTTTAAAAATGAACAATAGGGTGCTGAACTTACTAGGGGATTTGGAGTTGTAGAAGTGGATACTTTTTTTTAAAATCAAGAGAAAATATTAGTAAATTGGATAAGCACTTGATTATTTTTCATATATTTGCTACTTGGTACTCCTTGGTTAATTTTTGTCCTTGGAGTTATAATTATGGTGTTAAGTTAAAATAACAACTTTTTCTTTACTCTTCTACAGATACAAGATTTCATTACTGAAGCCCTCTACAAAGGCATTAGTCCTATCTTGTAAGGTATCTATTCGAATAGATAACCGAGGATTCCTTTCATTACAGTATATGATCAGAAATGAAGATGGACAAATATGTTTTGTGGAATATTACTGCTGCCCTGATGAAGAAGTTTCTGAATCCGAGTCATGAGTGTGACAACACACTGTGTTATTTATGTGTACGTTCATGATAGGTTAAGTTCTCATTCTGAGGACAGCAGTCTTTATAATTTCTTATTGGATTTTCTACAGAGAAGAAGCATGGAGAAGATAGGAGCAAGGTCCCTGTATCCTAATAGTTCCTGTGTATTTTGTAAATAAATGTTCCCATGAAGCCATGGAATGTTCTTTTATTTACTTACTATTAGAAAAAGCAAAAGCATATGAGCATTGTTTATTAGTTTGAATTCTGGAGACCAGATCTTAAAGCAGTGGTTATCAAAGAGTTGTTACCAGACCAACAGCATCAGAAGCACCCACAAGCTTGAAAGAAACTCCAAGAATGAGGCCAGCAGTCTGTATTTTAACAAGCTTTCCTTGGGAAATTCTGATGCATGCTGAAATTTGGGAACTGCTGTTTTAACGGGTACTTTTTAAAAATAGCATTTAATTGCATTGAGGTGATGGCTTCTACATGTGATTTCTTTGCAAATGTTCTGAAGTTGAGGCATCACCAAACAAATCTGAACAGTTCTGTATCCCTTTTGATGAAATCTACAAATGGGATATAAAATAGTCTTCAGAGTTACAAATTTTCTTCTTGTTCTCAAAACCGTTCAATGTATGACCGGGCACTGTAGCTCACGCCTGTAATCCCAGCTCTTTGGGAGGCAGAGGCAAGAAGATTGCCTGAGCTCAGGGGTTCAAGACCAGCCTAGGCAACTTGGTGAGACCTCATCTCTACAATAAATCAGAAAATTAGCTGGGCATGGTGGTGTGCGTCTGTAGTTTCAGCTACTCAGAAGACTGAGGCAGAAGGATCGCTTGAGCCCAGCTGGTTGAGGCTGCTGTAGCTGTGAGGATGCCACTGCACTCCAAGCCTGGGCAACAGAGTGAGTCTCCAACTCAAAAAAAAAAAAAAGACTTCAATGCAGTCAGTACTGCAGTAAGTACTTACTAGATACTTCCATTTGCCTATGAGTTTCTTGACCAAATCAAGGTGCAAAAAATCAGTTAAGTAATTCTGAACATTCCTGGGTAGTTTTCATTGAAATAATTTTTGAAGCATGTAAATTTTTTTGTATTTAATAAAATACTAAAAGTATCTGACTTGTTCTCTAGTAGAAAAAATTATATGGCTACAATGAAATTTGTCTTTGTTACTGCACCAGGTAACAACAGCTCAGAGCCTCTCCATGGACAGGCACTTTTGGCCTTTTGGGTGAGACAGTTCTTTATAGTAAAAAAACTAATCCCATTGTAGAATGCATTTTGCCTTCCTGGCCCTTATAAATGCCAGTCATTGTGACTAGCCCCTCCCCCAAATAAAATATCCCAAACTTGGATGTTGAGAACCATTCGATGATATTCACTGACATTTGAGGATATACCTGAAATGCCCTACCTTGAAATAGGTCACAGCATTAGAGGCAATTGGTTTGTAGGGTAATGTGGCAAAGTGTGACTTGAGGAGTCTACTACAGCATTGTGAAAGGCACTGCTTCCCAGGCATGTGTACAGTTTTGGGAGGTAGCCAGGGACAGGGCCTGATAACTAGTAAGTCTCTCAAACAGTCTCAGCAATCTCAGGATGCCCAGCTGCTTCAAAAGTAGTTTGCATTTTTATATAAAATGTATGTGTTTGAGAAGGAAATGTATGAATCTATTAAATACCAATTTTTTGTTTAAACGCCAAAAGATGAGATTTAGGTTTAGATTTTAGAACAAACCTAAAATATAGTATTTAATCAGTAGACATTTCAAGGGCTATTTTCCTTTAAATTTAAAACAGGACAGTTGTGTTTTTTGTTCACTGATGTGTCCAGGACCGAGAATACTGCCTAGTGTGTAATAGGCATTCAGTAACTATTGTTAGATGAAAGAATCGTCACTTTCAGATTATCTTATAGCATCTTACTAGTAACTGTTTAATTTTGATTATTTATTTTATTTATTACTATTATTTTTTTTGAGTAGGAGTCTCAGTCTCGCCCAGGCTGAAGTGCACCGCAGCCTTGACTTGCAGGGCTCAGGTGATCCTTCTACCTCAGCCTTCCAAGTAGCTGGAACCATAGGCGTGTGCTACCACAACCAGCTAATTTTTTGATTTATCGTAGAGATGAGGTATCACCAAGTTGCCCAGGCTGATTCTGAATCCCTGTACTCAGGCAATCCTCTCGTCTCCGCCTCCCAAAGTGCTGGGATTATGGGCATGAGCCACCACACCAGGCCAAATTCTGATTATTTAACTCTAAGTTTATTTTGAACTAAGGTGGTTTTGTTGTTGTTGATAACTTGAACAATGAAGAATTTTAAATATAGATCAGCTTAATAAAGCATGGATGTTTTTTCACATTCAAAGCTGTCATTTTAGCTACACATCTTTCAGCTATTTAGAATTCACAAACTGGTAAGTTGTTTCTGAATCACCCGAACATCAAGGTACTGATTTAATAAAAGATACCCTGTTTATATGGGTTCTATCTGACCCAGAAATTTTTACTAGTTTAATTTTGTTTTATTTCCTATAAGGGAACACTAGGGGGAGGGCTTCTACAGGCAGAACAGACGACTCTGGTATTACACACATTCATTTTAGAAGAATACAATCCTATTTTTAAGATTTTAGTTTTGGCTTTATGTTTACCTCATTTTCCTTTTTTGTTTTTTTAGTTGGAGTTTCACTCTGTCACCAAGGCTGAAGTGCACTGGCACACTCATGGCCACTGCAGCCTCAACCAGCTGGGCTCAGGCAACCCTTCTGCCTTAGCCTTCTAAGTAGCTGGAACTATAGGTGCACGCCTCCATGCCCAGCTAACTTTTTCATTTATTGTAGAGATGAGGTCTCACTAGGTTGCCCAGGCTGGTCTTGAGCCCGTGGACTCTCACCTCAGTCTCCCAAAGTGCTGGGATTACAGGCTTGAGCCACCATGCCCAGCCCTCATTTTCTTTTCAATACAGTTGTGCTTACTACAAATGGATAGGTAATTTATGGATTTTTAATTTATTTATTCCTCACTTGATGCCGGCTTCTACCTACAATTGATTAAATGCTTCAAAGTAAAAATAAAATGATTTGCTAAATTCTATGTTCCTAATAAAAATAAGGCTTATAACAATCATTTTTATGAGGAGCCACAGGATTTCTGTGGTGTTGCCAAAGAGTCTAGTAGAAATTAGTTACAGTTGCAGCATTCTCAGCAGTTTGCAAGGGGGATTTTTTTTTTTAAATGCAGGTTTCTCTCCCTCCCTGTCTTCACACTGCCAGTCCCTTATCCCTACCTGAAATAAAATCTATTGAATCCTGAGAATTGGAAACGTGTAGTATTTTTTATTTTCCCAATTTCACTTGTAGTTTGCTTCCATTCTCTGTATGTGTGTTAGGTTGCAGGCACCCCAGGGGCATTCATTGAACTGTAACAGATTTTCTTCAGAATCGACACCTAGTGTTCTTATTAGAATCACCAAAGACAGCTGGTATCCATATCTCAATCATTGCCAGAGGTTTTGATAATCAATAGGGTAAATGTGTGAAGTAGGTTTTCTTTTTTGAAATTTATAGCTGTGGGTCAATGTAATTGTGGCTTTCATTGGTAAAAGTAGAAGTATTCAGGACATGAACTAACTAAATTATTTCAGAGTAATTCCTCATCCTTATATGACAAGGAAATAAGAATCTAAGACCTGTGGCCTGTATCCTTCCTTATGCATGGTGTCTGAGGCTTGCTTTCTGTTATTTTGTCCAAGGACTTCTGGTTGCTGTTGCTGACTGGGTTTGGACAATTCTATCTCAAGCCTGCCTTTAATGGACCTTTGATGCAGTGGTGGGTGAACTTACTAAATAAATAGGGCTTCACTGAACTTACAGAACAGGTAACAAATATTTTCGTATGCTTGCTAAAAATTGTTTATTGAAATCTTTATGTGAGACAGTTTGATCTGGGCTTGAATTTTTTTTTTTTTTTTTTCTAACTTGGAACAGAGATTGTGGCAAAATAGTGAATTCTCACCCACCTCAAAAATATCAGTGCCTACTAGCTAATTCAAAAAAGTGTAAGAGCTGTGTATATTAGCTCAGATCCACTAGATATATCAGGTGTTTGATTAGATTGGGTTTTCTGGATTGCTAATTCCCATTTATTGAATTTAGAAAGTAGCTTTTATGGTTTTTGGTGAGAATGCAACTTTATATTAGGTTGTATTCTGCTGAGCATTCCTAATGTGGTTTCTCAAGAATTTCACCAAAATAGTAAAATTTTAAAATTTTGGGGCACAGCACAAAGGATGTTTTAGGGCAATGAAACTATTCTGTATGATGTTATAATGTTAGATACATGTCATTATACATTTGTTCAAACCCACAGCAGAATATACTCCATCAAGAGTGAACCCTTACAGGAGCTTGTGTGATAATGATGGGTCAGTGTAAGTTCATCACTTGTAACAAATGTTTCACTCTGGTGGGAGATGTTGACAATGGGAGAGACCAGGCATGTGTGGGTGCAGTGGGTATATGGGAAATCTTTGTGGTTTTTTTCTTAATTTTGCAGCGAACATAAAACTGCTCTAAAAAAATAGTCTTTGGTGAAGGAGAAAAAAAAACAACTTGTGACCAACATAGGTGCCAACTTACTTTGCCAGATATAAGGATATTAAGACTATACCACTCATTATCATCATTTCATAAAAACATTTTAACATCAAAATCTCAGAATATAGCAACTTTGACAAAGATGAACTGGAAATACTAAAAACACATCCAAATGCAAGAATAGGTACACTATAAATTTTTATTTTATGGTGTTACACTTATAATATTGTCTTATTGATACAGGTTTGTCCCTCTGAAGATCTTAAAATCATGAAGCAGTAACATTTTTAAAATTTTGGTACCACCCAAAATGGAGACCGAATGAATGGCCACTTCTTTCTGGTAGTCTGTTTTTATCAAAGTCATTGTGAAAATCCATTTTCAGTTAAGTATGTGGAAATGGGATCTTCTGAGGCTACTTTAGTCAACTGAGAATATTCTGAGTAAGAACAGCAGCCCCATCTTCAGGCAGAGCTAAAATGAACAGAGACCAGTTAAGCACTACAGAGAATGGCAGTGGAATTTGTATAGCTGCCATCAACTTGGGACTTTGATCCTGAGTGTCAAGCCTAAAGCATTCTGCGAGCTGACAG